TCTGCCATGTATTCACGGAAGGGACGATCCTGCCCACAGGGGGAAAAAAGAGAGAGAGAGATGCAACCTTGGTGCTCTCAAGAAGCTATATCTCTTTTCCAGATAACTCTTCACTGAAGCTTTGATTTAAGATTCAGGGTTTCCAAAATTTGACTGACAAAGCTAAGTGTCCTGTGCCCCCATATTGATGTCATTCATTTCTAATATTAGCATCAGAGCAGCCCGGGTTCACCTGGGAAAGAGGAGCTTTTATTTTGAGTTGAACAGGAGCAGATACTAAAAATGAACACAGTGAGACTTCCTTCTGGCATATCTGACACAGATAAAATAGGTAAACCAGTGCAATGAGACTATTTTGAATCAAAAGGGAGAGGAATTAAATCTAATTAGAAATTTGATGTGCTTACAGAATTTTTATGTAGCCTCAATTGTGTGAATGCTGAGGAATTAAGAAACAAAATGAAATTCTAGAAAGTCGTTTTGTTGTACACAGTCATGCAAGATCATGAAGTAGTCATGAAAATTCCATACATGGGATGGAGAAGGTTCCAAGGCATCTGTTATAGCTTAACATGATGTGTGAACTCGGCCATTATTTGGTGTTATAAACACACAAACAAGCTTTTGATGATATAGTTTGTACTCACTAGATCAAATATATCCAGTATTTGGACTTCTGTTATCTATCTATCTATCTATCTATCTGTTATCTAGTGGACCTTAAATGGATCAGAATAGCTGGACCATTGTCACATCTCCATTTAGTGTTGTGTAGACATGGACAGAGGCAGAAGGATGCAGATGCACCATGGGTAATCACAGAAATTGTGTTGGAATTCTATAACCTGAGCTGGAGGGAGCTAGTTCCTCCCACCCTTCTACATCTGCAGAGTGAGAAGCACCATCATGTGTTGAGAATGTCTTACATGGTAGGAGTCTCACAGAGACTCACCCCTGGACAAAGTAAAGGCAGTGGACTTGACCAGATATGGCTCATGACAGAAAATGCCTCCCACTGTAAAAACAACAGAGGGGCGCCTGGGTGGCTCAGTCAGCTAAGGGTCTGCCTTCAGCTCAGGTCATGATCCCGGGATCCTGGGATCAAGTCCTGCATCAGGATCCCTGCTCAGTGGGAAGCCTGCTTCTCCCTCTGCTTGCCACTTCCCCTGCTTGTGCTCTCTCTCTCTCTCTTTTAAAGATTTTATTTATTTATTTGAGAGAAAGAGAATGAGAGAGAGAGAGAGACAGAGAGCACATTGGGGGGGAAGGATCAGAGGGAGAAGCAGACTCCCCACTGAGCAGGGAGCCCGGTGCGGGACTCGATCCTGGGACTCCAGGATCATGACCCGAGCTGAAGGCAGTCGCTTAACCAACGGAGCCACCCAGACTCACCCCCTCCCTCATCTGACAAATAAATAAATAAAATTTTACAAAAAACCAAAAAACAAAATAACCAACTGAGCTTGGTAACCATTCCCTCTACAGGGTGAAGATATTTAGAGAGAGTTAAAATAAAAATACCAAGGCTCAAGGAAGGATCTATCATCCCTGTATCAATATTTGTCTGTAATGGAACTTTTCAATAGTGCAAAATCTTCACGCTTTCATTCCAGAAAAGCTGGCCTGAGTGTTTAAACATCAGGGGCAAGAAAATGGGCCACATTTAGTACTTGCTACTTTGCAGTTTGTTTTTCCTGACAAATTCTCAAGTTTTTCAAGTTTGGTCTTCCAAAACCCATCATTATCTTCCTGAGTCACTGTCATAAGGAAAATAGGGCAGGTCTCCCTACCTTGGTGTTGGGACTTTGCTTGCTAAGTACCCAGCAACATAACCTTGCCCTATTTGAGTTTGTTAGAAAAATGTCTTGTTCTGCATAGTTTTCTGCACTCGCCGTTCTCAAAATCATGGAAAGATTAAAATTACATGAAAATCCTTACTGAGATATTTTTTTCCCCATGAGACTTACAGAGTGACACAAATACAGGTCTGAGATAGCCCCTTCATATTTTCCCCAAAGACTTCCAGGGGAGGACACGCTCCACTGTATTGTAATTACATGGTTGCTTTTCTGTGACCCTCAGACCCCTGGGTGGCTCAGTCAGTCAAACATCTGCCTTGGGCTCAGGTCATGATCCCAGGATCCTGGGATGAAGCCCCGTATCAGGCTCCCTGCTCAGCAGGAAGCCTGCTTCTCCCTCTCCCTCTGCCTGCCGCTCCCCCTGCTTGTGCTCTCTCTGTCAAATAAATAAAATCTTAAAAAAAGAAAAGAAAAGAAAAGGTAGAGGATAGAAAACTCCTTGGAGGTAGAGAACCATAATGGTTTCCCCTCTGTATCTCCATGACCTGCACGTTGCTGGAACGTGGTAGCCTCTCAGTAAGTCTTTACGGATGCATCAATATTGAATATCTCTACCTGGAAGACTGTTATTCACCTATATATGGCTGACCCTTGAACAACATGAGGGTCAGGGGCACAGACCCCCTATGCAATTGAAAATCCATGTATAACTTTTGATTCTCCGAAAACTTAACTACTAATAGCCTATTGTTGGTTGGAAGCCTTACTGATAACATAGTCAGCACATATTTTGTACATTATATGCCTTACATACTGTATCCTTACAATAAAGCAAGCTAAACAAAATGTTAAAATCATAAGGAAGAGAAAATACATTTACAGTACTATATTTTAAAAATCCATGTATAGTGGACCCATGCAGTTCAAATCTGTGTTGTTCAAGGATGAATGGTACTTATTTTTTTTATTTTTTATATTTTACTTTTTTAATATTTATTTTATATTTCTGTAATATTTACTTTGTTTTTGTTTTGGTGTAGTCCTTTTTTCTTCTCCCTACTATATAGCTTTCGTTCTAGATCCCTGACCTTTAAAATCAGTAGACTTTTACACTAAAAGAGAAATCTTTGGATTTTATATCCTGTGGTTTTCTGAGAAACCACTAAAAGAATAATTTCTTGTGCAAATGATTTTCATGGGAGAAGTCCAGTTATTTTTCTCCTCTTTAGTAGTTCAAAATATTTTTCACACATTCCTTTATGCAATAGTTTCCTTCCGGGTGGACTTAACCCACTTCAAATGGGAAAATGTAGCACTAGGTCTGTGAGAGGGGGAGCAGAGTCAGAAAGCACCCAAATAATTATGCTTTGCATTTGTCTGCTGTGTGACACCTTAGCATACATTATCATGTTCCAGTCCCACAGACGTGATGTTAGATGAATGGCCCAGGCGTGTACAATAGCTTATCTCACTAGTGAAGAAATCGAATCCCAGAGGAAGGAAGGGATTTCTCCAAGCTTACCTGGCTAATTTCAACAATAGGTCAGCAACCTGCATCTTTCACCTGTTTGCAATGTGATGCACTTTGGACGATGCTATGAAACTCAATGTGTTGCTTCGGTGGCATTTTATAGACAAGAATAATAAACAGAGGGAAGAAACAGATGCAAAAATGAGAGCACTATAGTTACTACCTCTAAAGATGCCAGACTGTGGAAGCATCGAGAAAGCTCCTGGAAGAACTGAGCTGTGTGGCAGTTGGAAAAGTTGGTGCTGTTTCACTTGGGGTAGAGGCCAGGGGCGGGAAATTGTGTTCTCATAAGAGCATCTGATCAGAGAGTAAAGGATGCACTTTTCTACCATGTTTCGATTATTTAAGCTTCACCTCCTCACATTAGACCCACAAAATTCTAGGGGGCCTTCTCTCTCTGAGAATTTGATCTCTTCTCGGACAGCTTTGAGGCAGATGGCAGGAAGATGGGGTGGGGGTGGGTCCCCACGGAATACCTTACAATGTATACTAGAGCACCTAGTTCTCTATTTAAAGAGTGGAAATATATTTCCTCTTCTTGATAAGCTTTTAGGGGTGAAAAGCAAAGGGATTGATGAGGGAAAAAGTTATTTCAAAAGGACTATCTGACCTTCGGGTAGCAATTTTATGTAGCCTTTTATAAAAAATAATCTGTTGGTCCCCTACTTCTAATGGTATGACTTAAGGTCTTTTGACTTTGTGATGGTGGGGAAGCCATGTGCATTCAGTAGAAGCCATACTTCAAACTTTGAATTTGGATCTTTTCCCAGGCTAGCAATGTATGGTAGGATACTCTCTCATGATGCTGGGCAGGACGCCACGGCTCCCAGGCAGCCCCGCGATCAGGAGGGTAAACAGCCAATACACTTAACAACCATTCTAGACCCATTCAACCATTCTTTTTTTTTTTTCTTTACTTTCAGTATAGTAGTCAATAAATTACGTGAGATATTCAACACCTTATTATAAAATAGAATTTGTGTTAGATGATTTTGCCCAATTGTAGGTTAATATAAGTGTTCTGAGCATGTTTAAAGTAGGCTAGGCTAAGCTATGATATTCGGTGGTTAGATGAATTAAATGCATTTTCAACTTACGAAAATGGGTTTCTCAGGACATAACCCTATTGTAAGTCAAGGGATATCTATAATATAGTTTAAACAGCCTAAAGGATCATTTTGAATTTATTCTTATAATAATCCCCAACCATCCATAATAATATTCTGTTTTAGAACTCAGTTTGTTAGTTACTCAGCCAACAAATATTGATTAAGGATCCACTGTGTGTCAGGCTCTGTGGATGAATAATAAATGAATAAGGAATGACTGGTTGAATAAGATACAGATTTTGCCCTCAAGGAACTCCCATTCTAGAAAGAGAAAGAAAATAAATTTGTAAACAAATTAGTAAAGATTATTCAGGGCTGAAAAACTGCATTTCAGGGGGGACATTTTCATCTTGTGCTGAGCCTGAGCACATTTGGAGCTTCCTAGAGCCCAAATGGAGAAGAAAGACTCTTCCCAAGACCACAGACATGCACCTGCAGCTCTGCCTCTACCCCGACTCTAGTCAAGAACAATGTCAAAAGTGAGAGAAGTTTCTCATATTTAAATGTGTATAGTTTCACCTGAGAAAGTCATGACCATATGCTGCTTTATTTTTATTCTAGGAATCTTGGAAAATCAGGACTCAGAGTTTCTTGCTTGGGTCTTGGTAAGTACCAGGGGTATCACGTGGGGTGGATTGGGAGGTGGGAGATTGGGGAGAACACCAAGGGAGTGACTGGGATCAGGTCGAGACCCAGTCTCAGGTGAGGAGGGGCTTCCTGACCAGCAGTGGCCCACTTCTCCTTCTGAGCCTTTCCTGCTTAACACAGCCCTCTCCCTCTCTACGCCCAAAGAGCCACTGTGCTCATGATGCCTTATGGGGCCCATCAAGCAGAAATAAATCTAATATTAAAGCACACCTTAGAGGAAGAAATTTATGCGTTACTCATGTAGCAAATGCGAAGAACCTCGTTGTATGTATGTGTATGTTTGTGTATGTATGTGTATGTATGTATGCATGTGTATGCTTACCTTACCTGTAGCTTCATCTCAATTTTTTTTCTATCCTGATTTTCCCTTTGCCTAATTTACTCACGAATTTTTCTATACTGTTGTGTATTTTATGTACTTTTTATGTACTTGTATAATGTACCTTAAATACTCTTGGGACAAAGTGATGTGTGTATATATATATATATATACACACACATATAAATTATATAGAAAGAAATATATATATTTCCTCCCAGAAAATGTAAATATTTAAAGAAGACTAAGTTGAGATGGCAATGGTAACAGCATGAGGATGAGTCTGAAACGGTGAAATCTGAGTGGGAGACTTGGGGAGGTGTAAGGCTTCTGGGTTTCCCCCATGGGAAAAAGCCTTGGTGTTTGGGCCCTTCAACACCATGAGAGCTATTCCTGTAACCTGAGAGAGTCTAGACCATGATGGTAGCTGAGACATGATGAGAAGTGGTCAGATTATGGCTCTGGTTTGGAGATAGAGCCTGGCAGGTTCTCTGATTCTGTGTGGAATGGAGGGCAAAAGTGAAGAGGCAAAGATGACTGGGGGGTTTTTGCTTGAACAGCAGAAATGATGGAGTTGTCAGTAAATGAGATGTGGAAGAATGAAGAAGGAGAGCTTTAGGAAGGGGGAGATGAGGAGATTGATTTTTGGATGTATTAAGTTTCAGATACCTGTTAGATATCCAAGCAAAAAGGTCAAATAGGTAAATGGATATATGAATCTCGACTTCAGAAGAGAGATGTGGGTGAGGTGCACGAGGACTTGAAAGCCCTCAACATGTAGATGCTCTTTAAGCCACAAGACTGGATGAGAGCACTATGGGAGTGAGTAGAGATAAAACATGGGAGCACATGGTCTGAGACCTGAGAAGTCCAACATTAAGAAATCAGGAAAATAAGCAAGAGCCAATAAAGAAAACTGAAAAGAAGCAGTCATTGTGGTTGGCAGAGAAACAGGAGAACATGGAGGCCTGGAATCTAGGTGAAGAAAATATTTATAGGAGGGCGAAGTGACCAACCCTATTAAATGTGGCTCATAGGTCAAGCAAGATGAGGGTCAAGAATTGATCATGTAGCAGGAGGGAGGTCACTGATGACTTTGAAAAGATAATTTTTGGGGGGTAGAGAGCTCATGCATGATTAGAGTGGGTTCAAGAGAGCATACTGGGTTCAAGAGAATAGCTGGCGGCTACTCTTTTGATGACCATTTCTATAAAAGGAAGCAGAGAATGGAGGGGCAGCTGGATAGGTGGACACAGTCAGAGATGGTGCTTTTACACACGGAAGAAATGACAGCATATCTATATGCTGATGAGGAAGTCCTTTTGAGGAGGAAAAAAAAATGATGTAGGAGAAGACAAAAAAATACCTAGAATGATTTCTCGAGGACACAAGAAAAGAGTAACATGAAAGCAGGCTGAGTACATAGGCTCTGAGGCTGGTAGGTGGGTTGACTGGGTGGTGGTATCTCATAGAAGTTCTCTTCTATTGCTTCTATATTCTCAGTGGAAATCAGAAGCAAGGTCATCAGCTGTTAGTGAGGATGAGAAGGAGGTGTTGAAAGTTGGATGAGAAAGAGGATATCCAGGACAGCAGAAGGGTAAATAGACCGAGGGATGCGTCAGAATGGTCAGACAGCATTATGCATCTGCTTGAGATTCATGCTAATAAATTTAAAGTGAGACCATCTCCATGGTTGGGTGTTTTTCCTGCAGCCATGTTCAGCTGTGCAGATGGGGTTTTTCAAGGGCATATGATGAAAAAGAGAAGCCAAGAAGCTGAGAGTTTAGGGAAAGGGGTGATTATAATGGTGGGCCTCAGAGTTTAAACTGAGCAAAGAGAAAAATGAGCACTAGAGCCAGGAAAACGATCCATGAGTAAAATGAGGTGGAGGGACAGTGGAAAATGGGTAGGATTGATGAATCATGCAAACAGAGGGACCAAAGGATTGTTGGAATAAGAGCAGTAGAGACAGTAAGATTAAAGGATAGAAAGTGGTAGTTAGAAAGGGGAATGCTTGAAATTGAGGTTTTGGGCATTGGGTGTTGGGTAGCGACAAGTCTAAGGTGTGTCCATTGGCAGAGGGTGGCTGAGGTTGTGTTGAAGACAAGATCAGTTGAGAGGTGGAGGTCAAGAAACTGAGAGATAAAGTACAGGGAAGGATTATCTTCGGGGTCACTGAAATCACTAAAAAGTATAACAAAACTAATATTGAGGGGGTGCCTTGGGGTGGCTTAGTCAGTTATGTGGCCGACTCTTGATTTCAGCTCAGGTCATGATCTCAGGGTCCTGGGATCCAGCCCATCTCAGGCTCTGCGCTCAGTGGGGAGTCCACTTCTCCCTCTCCCTCTCCCCCTCCCCCAGGTCGTGCACACACTCTCTCTCATATAAATAAATAAAATCTTTAAAAAAAAAGAAAAACTAATATTGAAGAGAGAGACAGTGAGCCAGAGTTAAAATTTTCCAAGCATGAGAATTACTAGGGGTGGTTAAGTGATTGTAACTTGGGGGCCTATTGATGTGGGATTCAGAGTGGTGGGCAGACACTGGGGAGGGCTGGGAGGAGGATTTCCTGGCTCCTATTGAATGAAAGTGTGGAGACCAGGGAAGGGACAGTAGTAAATGAATTAAAGGTAGTAGCAACTAATTGTGCTACCTTTCACTGTATTTCAAAGATGTTGAAGGCTATTGATGCCTGAGTTTTTCTGACTCTCCTGAACGATGATTTGGGAGGTGAGGGTGGTCTTTGTTCACCATAAATCTAAGGGAATGGGACATTTGCTTAATTGATGGCTCTGATCTTGTTACCATTTACTTATATTTGAAAGACTCTGGAGGTTCATTATCAGAGATAGCCTGACCTTCGTTTTTTTGAGAATGTGCTTTATGGTAAACAATTATTCACTATTTATTATTGAAAGAAATTACCTATAAATATAAATTAAGAAATAGACTAGGGGCACCTGAGTGGTGCAGTCGGTTAAGCATCTGACTCTTGGTTTCAGCTCAGGTCCATGATCTCAGGGTCGTGAGATGGAGCCCTCATTGGGCTCTGCACTCAGCACAGAGTCTGTTTGAGATTCTCTCTGCCCCTCCTGCTTGTGCTCTCTCTTTCTCTCTAAAATAAAAAAATCTTAAAATTTAAAAAAAAAATAATCTAAGAAAATATAAATTAGGAAATATAGTGAAAAATCATAGATCAACTATCTCATAGTATCTATGGCAGAAAAATAATTTAGTCAAATGTACATAGAAAACTCAAGCAAAAGCCCTTAAAACTAAAAAAAAAATCAGGTGTCTATTAAGTCCCACATGTAAATGAGTCTCCAGAGGGAGGACTGCAGTTTTTTAAAAACCCTGTGTGTGTGTGTGTGTGTGTGTGTGCACGCACGTGCACTCTGTAGGTATTTTGGTGAACTTTCAAACAAAACTTTGATTCAAGGGTAGCAAGTCCTGATTTGAGCTTCACATTTTTCTGAGAGCCTGAACACTTGTGATAAGACATTGTGTGAAAAATAGGAGGAAACAAAGAAATTCATGGGGTTGACTGACTTCATTCAAAACAGGTAACAAGGCTTGGTTGGCTTGGTTGAATAAGCATTTTTTGAGAACTTTTCTGAGCTGCCTCTGTTAGCCAGAGGAGATGAAAAACATCATGGAAAGGAATAATGCACCAGCCTTAGACTATCTGTCAGGCTCTGCAGACCCCAGCTACCAAATCCGGGTGGAGCCGGGTTTACTGCTTCAGGCTTAGGTTGTCAGCTCAGTTATAGCCCTTGTTCAACTAAGGCTTTGGAAATTAAGTATTAAATGTACTAAGCAGGGCACCTGGGTGACTCAGTCAGGTAAGCATCTGCCTTCTGCTCAGGTCGTGATCTTGGGGTCCTGGGATTGAGCCCTGCATTGGGCTCCCTGCTCAGTAGGGAGTCTGCTTCTCCCTCTCTCTGCCCTGCTCATGCTCTCTCTCTCAAATAAATAAATAAAATCTTAAAAAAAAATAAATGTACCAAGCAATCACACCATTACAGATGCCTTTTACTGAAATACTCGAAAGGTCATAATTAAAGCTAACAATCCTGATGTTCTGCTCTACCAGATAAGGACAGACTGGGACCTTCTTGACTTGCCAAGCTTCCTTTTGGTAACTAAGAGCATGTGTACATGGGAACAGAAAGGTTAAATAACTTGAGGATACACTGAAGATACCTCTGAAGGAACATGGCTCTGCCAACTAGCAAAATGGCAGGCAGGTGGGTGGGAGATTAAGTGCCCACTGCTACCAAGCCCCAAAGTCAAAGAAACTTATGGGAAAAAAGTAAATCCACCAAAGAGCGACTGAAAATCATCTACTGGGATACGGGATCATCTTCTGAGACAGAAAGAGTAGTGTTCATTTATTCATTTGTTCATTCATTCATTCGTTCATTCTCAGCAAACATTTAGGAAGCGAGGCCTTTTGCTGGTTACAGGGGATACCAAGATGAAAGCAGCAAGGATTCTGCTCTCAGATTGTTCCCATAGAAGTAGGAGTTCAGCATGTGGAAACAAACACTACATTTAGCATACCATAATGGAGAAAACAAGGTGAACCAAGTGTGAGGACAGTCTCCTGAAGAACTTGGGACAACTTCACAGGGAATG